TAGGAAGTGCATAAAGCTCAGATTAACCTTATTAGAAACCCCCAAATTTAACCTTTTTAGATCTTAATCATTTCTGTTCTGGATTGAGAAACCTGAAGGTTTTGTAGAGCTTTGGGTGGGATAAAGCCTTCATTCCTATGTCCACATCTTACCTGTTACCTCATTAATGAGTCTCAACAGTGCACATGCCTTTCTATTTGTGAGCTGAGTGGGGCTCAAGGGCTCTCTCTCTCTCTTCCTACTGTGAGAGCCTGCTTCTGGATGACTGCTGAAATAACACTAAAATATACATGTGCTGCCTGTTTGTTTTAGGGAAACCATTAGTGAGCGCCCTGTTGGTCAGACACTGGCATAAGTGGCTCAGAGGAGTAGATGTTTTGGTTTATACGGTATAAAGCTCTCCTGCATTGAAATGCGTTTGTTTACTGGCTTTCTGAAAAAAACCAGAGGACAAATCTCCTTGGATTGTCTCTAGGTGTGCCTGTCTCATGCATGGTTACTGCTGCCACTACCAGCTAAACCTGCGATCTTTACACCACGTACAAATGGTTCTAACTATTAGATTAAAACATTTTGCTGCTAGGCTGCCAGAGCAATTTTTGCATTTCTTTTTGCACACATGTTAAAATAAGCCCCCAGGGGGGGCGCATGCGTGCATCGGGAGGAAGCTGGCTGGCTTCTAACCTCACTCCGCTCCTCCACAACACTCACCGGCGGCTAGCGTATCCTCCTGCACCTTCTTCCGAGCAACTTATGGAGCCGAATTAACTTCTGGTTACCACGATCCAGCCATGCGCCAGCCGGGGTCTAAAAATAAGCCCTTAGAGGCAAATCTATTAAAGAGGCTCTGGCACGTGCAGCACCTAAAATGGCGCTGGTCTCTTCAGATAAACCTGATCTCCCTGCTACACCTCCTCAATCTACAATTGAAAATGACAGAGACAGCAAAATAAGTTCTCCCCCTCCATCTCGTGAATCTTCTAACCGTGATCTGCTACACCGCTTTGATCGCATGCTACAAAAAGCATTAAAAGCAACTTCCAAACAAATTATGGATCAGCTTAATCGTGAAATACAAGAATAAGGTCAGCGCTCTGCGGATCTGGAACTCTGTATGGACAACACGGCCTTTGCCATTGCCTCCCATGACAAAGATCTAGCATCACTCCGTGATGACAATCACCAGCTCGTCGCTAAACTTGAAGACCTGGAGAATTGCTCTCGGGGTTCTAACTGGTGCTTTCGTGGCATTCCTGAACATGTAGTAGACCTCCAAGCCACAATTACTGCTTTATTACAGGAATTGATACCATCGAGGAAACACGGGAAACACGGCGGCGGTGTCCGGCGGGGGGGCGGCCCCTTCTTCGGGACGCAGAAGCGATCTGGCGACAGGTAAGTTGCCAGAATTGCAAAGCCGACAATCGGCTCTACAAGTTTAAACAGAGTCCCGGCGGCAAAAGTCGCCGGGAGTCTGTTTAAACAGCCCCGATGTCAGTCACAAAGGGGTTAAAAACTTTTTTTTTTTTAAAGTATTTTTTTCATTGATACATGTCCCCCAGGGCAGTACCCGGCTCCCCATACCCTTTTTATGGCTAATAACTTGCAAATAAGGCCTCAAAATGGGGACATTTGATTTTCAGAGTTCTGGTCCCATAGACTTTCATTGAGTTCAAAGTTCGAGTTCAAACTTGAACCGAACTCAGGTGTGTTCAGCCCATCACTAGTCCTATCTCATGGTCAAACCATTTGGTGTATTAAATGGGGTCTATTCACTAAAGGGCGAAGAGTTTGGAGACGGCAGGAGAAGTGAACAATCTATGCAAAAATAGCTGATTTGGAAAAATTCTCCAATTCAGCTCACTTTCCAGTTCAGCTATGTTGTCCTAGATTGTTCACTTCTCTTGCCTTCTCCAAACTCTTCACCCTTTAGTGAATAGACCCCAATATCTCTATCCCCCTTCTAGCATTGTCCACTAACCCCCGTTGGTCCCTCAATGATTTCCTTCTGCCAGATGAATCCCATCAACAACTATTACGATCATTTATTATTGATTACCTTGCTATCTATTCTAATCACAAAGTTTCCCCCATTACTGTTTGGGAGGCACATAAAGCTGTGCTGTGTGGTGAATGTATCAAACTGACATCTAGACTTAAAAGAGTCTAAACAAAAGACTTAAAGGACTCTATAAACAAAAAATCCTTAAAAAAAGCTATGCTTTTGCAGCATAACAATTCCAACAACATCCATCTCCAACCAAATGGCTCTGAATGAACAATGCTAAGAGGGATCTAAATCTGATGGCTTTTCCCCTCTCTATTATCAAAAATTTTCAAATATTCCTATTCCGCCGCTGACCGTCTCCTTCAATGCTCTCAGATCAAATTTATCCTTGGGCTATGGATCCCTATTAGCTATGATTTGTATGCTCCCCAAACCAAATGCAGACTCAACTAATTGGTCTAATTATAGGCCTATTTCCTTATTAAACATCGATGTTAAACTACTAGCTAAAGTCCTCGTGAATAGGCTCAACACTGGCATTGGTCAGCTTATTCATAACAATCAAGTGGGTTTCATCCCCTCTCGAGAAGTTACTGACAATATTCATAGAGCCGCCCTCATCACTCATATCGCTAAAAAATGTAAAATTCCCCTGATGTTTCTTTCTCTTAACATCAAAAAAGCTTTTGATTCACTCTCTTAGCCCTTCCTTTTCTATGTTTTGAATAAATGGGGATTTGGTCCTTACTTTTGTCAATGGGTCTCCTCTCTCTATGCTAATCCCACGGCTATTGTGAAATATGCAGGCTCCAAATCTAGTCCCTTCCCCATTAATTGTGGCACGAGACAAGGTTGTCCTTTATCCCCTTTGCTCTTTGCCTAAGACATAGAACCTTTAGCCCAATTGATACATAATCATAAAGATATCACTGGTTTATCTATAGCTGATCAGTCCCTAAATTGTGCCCATTCGCAGATGACATTCTCCTATTGCTCACTAATCCTATTATATCCATTCCCAATTTTCTTTCACTTGTCACCCAATTCGGCTCTCTTTCTGGCCTCAAGATTAATCATGATAAAACCATGGCTCTCAACATCTCCCTTCCCACACCTATCGCTCAACACTTACAATCCACTTTCCTCTTTCCATGAGTAGATTCCAGTCTACAATATCGTAGTATCCATCTTACTTGCTCCTTGGATCGCCTTTATACAGCTAACTAACCCAAGTTATTACGTACATTGTCTTCCCTACTCAATTTGGAAATCTCTCTCTTGGTTGGGTCGTATCGCAGCCTTCAAAATACCATATTTACCCAAACTCTTATATTTCTTCAGAGTGCTCCCGATACCGGTTCCCTCCATATTTTTTCCGCATTCTGCAATGCCAAATATCCTCGGGAGTCCCAAACCTACATCATTATTATCATGCAGTTCAAATAGCTACTCTCACCAAATATCAAACAACTTTCAAAATTCCTTTATGGTATGCCCTAGAAGCCATCGATTGCGATTCTATTGGCATCGATAATTAATTATAGTTACCCCATCACGATAGATGAACTTTGCAGAATCCGATCACTAAACACTCCCTCAAAATATGGGATTCAGTAAAATTCTCAGGGGGACCCGTATCTCCACATCTACCCATATTGTCCCCATTACACAATCCAGCCTTCCCACCTGGTCAAGAATCCCCTAGCTCCTTTAAACAATGGACCGATAGAGGACCACTCTGTTTTAAATCTCTAATCAACTCCTCTATAATGATCCCCTTCTCGCTCCTACAATCTAAATTTCAGCTTTCCAATACTGAAATTTTTCGATACTTACAGATCAAACATTATGTCACTACATTAATTTATCACTTCCCCTCTTTGTCATCACATACTGCATTTGAACGTATATGCGAAGACTCTCCCCATGCACGTGGAGTAATCTCTTTACTATACGATACTCTAGACTCCGGTCCATCCCCTTCTACCCACATCTACATGAAGCCATGCTCTTGATCTAGACACCACCCTTGATCCTAAACAATGGTCTCAAATTTGGGACACTACAAAATTTTGACTTAGTTCCCCAGGGTACTTCTCCTTCCTTCTTTCCCCTCTTTTCTTCCTTTTTCTTCCTCCCTTCTCTCTCTTTATTCCTGCTCCTCTTATTACTCTACTGTACATATCTATGCTTCAACATTGTTTTTGAGTGTAACGAAAACAACAATTTTATTTTCTTTCTTTTTTAAAAATTGTATTCAATGCTATTATTACAGTTTGTATTCGATCCCACTTTATTTCTTGACTTCATTGCACTGTTGTATTTTCGCAATCAAACTATATCGATAAACCTGTGTAAACCTTTAATACAAAATATTGAACAGAAAAAAAAAAAGAGCCCCCCAGGATGTTCACTGATCGTCCTCCGCCCCATCTGCTGACACCTGCAGCGAAGCATGGGATACATGGTGGGGTAGTATTGCAGGGGGGATGGAGGGCTACACCTTTAGCAGCCCCTGAAAGTGACCGGGTGATTTTACAGCCTCTTGAATCACTCCCCGTGTAATGTCAACAATCGTCTTTACACATGTAAGCAAAATCATTAATCAAATCTTTCACCATTAGCTTCCTTTGCAAAAATTGGTCATATGACATCGGAAAGATGCAAAGAAAGTCATTGTTGAAAGACTTCCCTCTGCCAGGTGCTGTGGTCACAGATGTGAAAAAGGAAGAAGGTACCTATATAATGCCATTCATGTGTCACTGACTGAGGGTCCCGCTCTGATCCACTCAGAGCTACCAAACCCAACATATCTTAATTAGCTGAGGGAACAAGTGTGCCGTGCACCCCATCTTGGTTCTCCCCTGCAGAAGGTCAATAAGTAGTGTAATTTTAATAATTTATTTAGTTAAGTAATCTATATAAAACTTCACAACATGGCATTAGAAAACCTGCATATTTCAGTTTGCAGAATAAAATACAGAATCCTTACCCTGCAGCATTTCTGTATCCACTGAGTTCCAAAACTACTATGTATAAAACAGTAACAAAAAGAAGTAAAATCATTTTTGGCAATGAAGAAATGCGTAAAAAAATTGCCATTGTTAAGGTGCCCACCACACAGGATAAGAAAGCATAGTGAGCTGTGTCACATGGACGTTCCTCCATGGTTTTATTTTCTCCATTTGGAGAAATAATCATAATAGAGCTGCTGGAATTTGTACTCCATGACCAAGGCATGCAGCCAACCTACAAAAAACAAACAGAAATTAGAAACTGTGATTTCTACTGGGTTACATATCAAGCTACTGTTCCCTAAAGTAGTACTAAAGGCTAATCGTTTTTTACCTTAATGCATTCTCTGCATTACAAAAACGTCCTGCTACCTTTCAATGCCCCCTCCCCACCTCCAAACACTTACCTAGGGTTTACATCACCACTACCAGCTCCTGGACGATCTGCTGTGTCCCCTAAGTTCTGTGTTGAGGGGCGGAATCCTGAGGGCACTGAAGCAATAGGCTGCTGCTACTGCCTGTCAAATTACTGTGAGGAGGGAGGAGACGGGCACAGGGGGTGTGGCTTATCAAGCTCTGTATGTGTCAGTGGATGCACACAGTTCAGCTCCGTTCCCGGCCAGGAGCAAACAAGCAGGGGTGTCTCCTTTGCAACCTGCTAGGCAAAGGAGACACCCATAAACAGAAGGGGAGGGTGCCGCAGAATGAAAGCTGCTAAAAATAAATTAAATGGTGCAATTAAAAAAAAAGCTCATTAAATAAATGGCCATATGCAGTGCTGATTTAAAATAAAAACGGAAGGGTTTAATGTCACTTTAACTACCCTCATCTGCAAGACTTGTCTGATGACATAACTAATTAAAGTGTATCAAAGCCAAGAAACAAAAATTAAATATATTGCAGCTTAGCAATCCTTAAGTGTGGTGGTTGCATTCGTTTTTTGTTTTTTAAGTTTCTTTTCTTTATTTTCATCTGGTGATATGGCCAGTAACACACTTCCTGTCTTAGGGTGGCTTCACTCTATGGAGAAGCAACAGAGCCACCCTTGGACAGCAGCATTGTCACCCTGTGGGGAGTGTAGTGTTAGATGCAAATTTAGAAGGATTTGACTAACAAATTGAAACCAAACTCCAGGTAACACTCTTAAAGGAGAACTATGAGGTGAGTGCTTTTCACTCATCCTCATAGTTCTAGCCCACCTGTGACAATGAAACTGTCACAGGTTGGCTCAGTAGATCGGGAAGTGAGCGAACACATACCGGCATTCGCTCACTTCTCGATCCTGTCACGGCAGAGAGCCGTGACAGGGGAGGGACTGGATTCCCACCTCCCCGCTCCGATCCGGACGGGAGGGGGCGGGTACAGCTGGCTCTGCCTCTAGATAGGCAGAGCCAGCTGTCACTCACGCAGCTGGGCGGATCCAGACATAATTGTCGGGATCCGTTTCAGCTGCGGCATCTCAGTATACTGAGCTTAGGGTGACGAGAGGACACTAGTTTGTGTCCTCACGTTACCCTTAGGAGAACTATGGGGAAAAGCCCTAACCCCATAATTCTCCTTTAAGCAGTTACACAAATTAGGTTTTAAATAAATTAATAAAAGCTGAACATTGTAAATACCCCAGTCACTGTTAAACGGTTATGTATTAACCCTCTCTTTGCCACTTTTATTGGACAGCTTGGTTTGTTAAAATAAATTAAAAAATAACAGACTTACTAGCTGGATCACCATGTGAAAATACAGAAATATAGCCTTTAAATGTAATCTAATGCAGCCGCCGAATTCAGGACTTGGCAAGCTGCAATATAATAAATGCCTGAATGAACTGAAATAATGTCACATATTAAACTTAATCAACTTTCATTTCTGACATCACAGAACTTACCCATGACATCAGACTAGGCTACTATCAAGATCTTAATCATATGCTCCACATATGTCCTAATCTTCTTTTATCACTGCTCTGGGTGCACAATTTACCAGCCTTTCCCCTCCAAAATCATGGCAATAATATTTATCCATCTTAAAGGTGGCAATAGGAAAGGATGTCACCTCTCTTCCCCTGGCCTGTAATTGGGCAATGAAGAAGATGATGCACATTGATAAGGTAATCCCTATGTTCTCCCCTTCTGTAAGCATGTTCATTGTTAGGCCAACAAGCACTATACAAAGACCAATATTTTGGCTTAAGAGAATGAAGCTATGAACAGGGTATAATATCTACATGCAAATATTGAGAAATCAAAACACCTGTGGTGCAAGTGATACATCACCAGCATGTATTATTGACTCATTAAGCCCACTAACACACTTAGATAAACACAGAATTTCAAGTTAATGATTTCAGGTTCTGAGATTTATGATTTCATTAAGTTCCGAACTATATCTTAAGACTCTGAGTTGGTTCATATCTTACCAGCTAGCTGTCGGCTGCCAACTCCATCATGCTTTTTATTGCAGAATATGAGAATTTTCACTTTCAAATTAATGTAGATATCAGGGGTTGTGTTAGGAATTGTCATGTTTGACATTCTCCCTCTGTTTTTTTCAGAGTATGTGTCACTATCTTTCAGTTAGATGGCACTACTGGAATGTAATAAAGAATGTAGTGTAGCAATTCTCATTCTGCAATAATCAGATGAATAGAAATAGGATTTATTTGTTCACCGGAACTCAGAATTCAAATGAGTTCAATATCCCAGTGGTTTCTACTAGGGATGCACCAATACCAGTTTTTTGGTATTGAGTACGAGCACCGATATTTTTTTTGGTACAAAATACCAAATATTCGGCCAATACCGAATACTGAAAGTCGCATTAATGAAGCTGGGCGACGTGTAATGACTCGCTGCCCGGCTTCCAGATTAGCCGGGAAACTGTCTCCATGCTCCTTCGTCACCAGGTGTCGATGAAGCATGGAGCTGGCTTTCTGGCCAACCAGGAAGCTGGGTGGCAGGTAATAACTTGCGGGCGGTGAGTCATTACACGACGTCCAGCATCCTGATTGGTCAGGAAGCTGGCTCCATGCTCCCCCAGGTGATTGCAGTATCGGTATCGGTGCATCCCTCGTTTACTACAGTGTTAATATA